CCCATGCAAACTGAGCGTTGCCATGGCGACCTGCAGCCCTAGAAAAGGCTATTTGTCTCCTCCTTGACCTTTCAGGAGATCCGTATCTTCCTCAAGCCCCCTTCCATAATCCGGTTTTTAAAATATAATATTATGCTACTGGAAGGGATCAGACCTTTAATCTGCTTGTGTGTGCATGTGTCAGTGCATGGCTGGGGGTGCTGCTTTGGGGCACCCTGCAGGGCCCAGGGCCAGACAGGGCACAGCACAGTGTGACTGCCCTGCTGGGGCTGCAGGTGAGCTCCCAGGGGGAATTACTGCCTTTGGCACACAGGTGGAGGAATCCTCTCCCTCTCCATTCATCCCCCTTGGTGTGGGCTCCTTCCACGCAGGTCATGCAGCAGTTGGCCTTTTGCTGTACTCTGTTGGTATCCCCAAAGTGTGTGTTCTGGATTCTGACCTGAGGTCTTGCAAGCTGGATGTTCTTCTGCCTGTTGTGTTCCCTTCATGTCTGTGAGCTGGGCTGTGATAGGTGCTGGACAGGGCCTCTTTTATGGGATGTGGGAACAAAAGTCTGCAGCCAACAGTTAAGAGTGAAGAATAGTAGAATAATGGAGTGGTTCGGGTTGGAAGGGACCCTAAAGACCATCTCATTCCATCCCCTGCCATGGGCAAGGACACCTTCCATCCAACCTGGCCTTGGACACTTCCAGGGATGGGGCAGCCACAGCTTCTCTGGGCAGCCTGTGCCAGGGCCTCCCCACCCTCACAGGGCAGAATTTCTTCCCAATATCCCATCTAACCCTGCCCTCTGGCAGTGGGAAGCCACATTCCCTTCTCCTGTCACTCCAGGCTCTTGTCCAAAGTCCCTCTCCAGCTCTCTTGGAGCCCCTTTAGGGACTAGAAGGGGCTCTAAGGTCTCCCTGGAGCCTTCTCTTCTCCAGGTGAACACCCCCAGCTCTCCCAGCCTGGCTCCAGAGCAGAGCTGCTCCTCTGATCATCTTGGTGGCTTTCCCTGGACTTGCTCCAGCAGGTCCATGTCCTTCCTGTGCAGGGACCCCAGAGCTGGATGCAGGACTCAAGGTGGGATCTCACCAGAGCAGAGTAGAGGGACAGAATCCCCTCCCCTCAGCTGCTGCTCACCCCGTGAGGATGAACCCAGGACACAGTTTGGCTTTTTGGGCTGCGAGAGCACGTGGCTGGGGCACATTGAGCTTCTCACCCACCACCACTGCCCGGGGCTGCTCCCAGTCCATTCCCCACCCAGCCTGTGTTTGTGCTTGGGAATGAGGAGCTGGGGACCAGTCAGTCCAAGGGAATTGGAGCAGGGGGTGTGGGGCACAGCTGCTCCCCTTTCCTCACAGCTGTGGGTGGTTTTGGGTGTCTGGGCTGCTCTGGGAGGAGCTCGGGGCTCAGCCTGTCTTCAGGAAGGACAGCTTTTCAGGTTGCTGTTTTCCCTGGAGAAGCATGCTGGGCTGTTCCTGGGATTTTCTGGCCCGTGGAGGAGGCAGGGCAGAGGTGGGTGTTTGCCTGCTGTGGGCTGTGTGGTGTCACTGATGGTGGTTTGGCTGAGCTGCTCCCTCGGGACTGGGGGAAGGCAGAGCTTGGGCAGGACTGAGCTGTGAGGAGTTTGGCCAGGCTGGAGTTACAGCTGATGTTTCTCAGCTTCTGGTGTCCCAAAGCCTGTGGTGGTGCAATGTCTTTTGTCCTGCTGGACCAGGACAAAATTTTAGGGCTGGGAATGCAGCTGCAGTGAATGTGCAAAAAGAGGTGATTTCTGAAAATCGCTGTTATCTGGGCAGAGCCCTCCTTCCCAGCTACATCACTGAGAGCTGGTGGAGTACTGGAAGAACTGAGAGTCAATTAAAAGTTAAACTTTCGCTCCCTTTATTAAATAGCATGGGGATGAAAGCAGTTAGTTGGACTTGGTGGAGGTTCAGGGAGGTCTCTTGTTAAAATTATATAAGTTTACTCTCTTGTGCAGTCCTGGGTGAGGAGGAGGTGGCAGAGCTGTCAGCTGCAGAGCCAAAGCTGGTGTTTTGTTCTGTTGCTCCATTATGGTGGTAGAAAGTCCTGTGGGTTTAGCAGAGCAAGTGTGTCCCTTGTTAGAGCCCACACAGTCCCTGCAGTCTGATTGCAGCTGTGTGGGGCTGCCTTTGCTGGGGCAGTTTGGCCACCAGCGTTTTAAATAATGCTGAAATCCTTCACCCATGCAGAAAGATCTCAGTTTTTCATAAAAATCTCTGGTTACTGTTCATCCTCTTTTCTCCTGCTAAGACCTGAGCCCCAGCTCTGTGCTTCCTCCTGAGCCAGGTGTAGGATGAACCCAGAACACAAAGGCAGCCTCTGCTCTAAACCTCCCATGCACCAGGGCAAAAGGAACAACTCCTGGGGACAGTTTGATGTGTTAAAAGCTGTCTCAGCCTGTTTGCTTTATCTTGAGACTTTCTTCCCTTTCCTCTCAATGTCACCTTGGTGTTCAGTTTGCCTTCTGCAAAGGTATTCCAGCGAAATCCTGTTTTCCTGGGATTCTGCCTAATTGTGTGGGTAGACTGAGTGGAGCTCAAAGCCTGTGACTGTGCTTGTGAGCCCTGTGGTACCTGCTCCTGTGTGGAGTCATGACTTGCTAATGCACCTTTGCACACAATGATGATTTTCGTTTTAAAAGCGTGGAAAATCTCCTAAAAACACAAGAATTTTGGGGAAGAAAAAAATACCACCTCTGGTGTGGTAATGTTTCCTTCCGTGTGTTTTTGTTTTCATTGGATATATCGCAGCTTTCTGCACTCTCTTTGAGTTTTGGAGAGCCCAGTTAAGGAGCTGTGCTGTGCTCTTCTCCGGGAAGACCGGGAGTTGAGTTTTAGTGGTGGGTAAAACAATTCCTCCTCGTAGCTAAACGTGTTTACAGTGCCGTGGGCTCGATTGGGATGCAAGACACTCTGCAAATGCGAAGATGTAATTATCCCATTTTTCTCTTCCTACTCCCTGCCTCTCTCCCCCTGCACTCCGGGCTCCTCTCCTCCGCCCTTTCCCCGGCGTTGTGCTGATGGCAGCGTTTATCTGCATTTGTCCTCTGTCCCTGACATCCAGTTATTGATTGGCATGATTAAAAAGAACTGATAATCACCTCACATTAATCCCATAAATGACTTAAGACACCAAAATATTTGCATAATGCATCTTAAAAGGTGGCAGCTAAAAGAGGATAAGACCCAAAACTGCTTGGCACAGGAGAAATGGGCTTCCCACTCACCTGTGGGCTTGCTTAAGTAATTAGCCTTCTGCTTGCATAAGGAGGAATCTGAACTGGTTTAGCGGAGGAAGATGCAATGGGTGCTCAAAGGCTTTGGGATCTGAGCATCCCTTCTCCCAGCTGAGCCCGGGGGCGGGCGGGGGGAGCAGCGGGAATGTGGCAGCGGCTGCCGGAGGAGCGAGCGCGGGGCTGTTTTTGTCTGCAGCATCCTGTGAAAATCTGGAGCCAGACGCCCGCTGAAAGTACCTCTGTCTAAAGACTTTCTGTCATAAACTTATCTGATTAGCAGGGGAGCTAGACGACAGATTAGCCCCTGCTCTCCAGCAGCAGGGATGGGCTCCCGGGAGCGCCGGAGCACATCCGCTCCTGGCGCTGGGAGCAGCCTGGAGGTGGGGGCGCAGCAGGTGGGGAGGAGGTGGAGGGGGGGGGGGGGGAGGGGGGGGGGAGGAGAGGGGGGGGGGGGGGGGATAAGAGGGGGATATTTAAAGGAAGATCATTGCTAGGTAATTCTGCAGATAATGCACCCTCCGTGCTGCCCTGCTGGTCCCAGGTGAGGACACTCTCTGCCACCAGTGCGTTGGTGTCATGTGCTGTGTGTCACAGCAGCACAGAGTGGGTGCACTTGGCATGTGAGTAGAGGCTGGGAGGGAGCTGTGGCTGTGGGAGGGGGGGGCAATATTGCTAATATGTATGGGGTTTTTGTGTCTCTGGTTCTTCTGGCTGTCATCTTCCATTTAGAGGGAGGGGAGGAAGAAAAATAGCCACATTTAGCTCGGGGCAAGCACCTTGTGCTGGAAGGATGGGGGGGGGTTGACATAACGCTGCAAACAAACAAAAGGGAGACATTCCAGCATTGCCAGTTAGTGTCGTGTTTTACCTTGTTCTTCCTCCTCACTGTTTGTATATCATTTATTCAGAAATATTTTGCAAGTGGATAGTGGTTTGCAAGCAAAAAGCATTTGCCACTGAAATGCACTATCTGCTACAGTGAATGCTTTTTGTGTTCTCCCTCTCCATAGAAGGAAAAGAAATAGAAAAAAAAAGACTAAACTAGCCTACTTAGCAGCAATCTGATGCGAGGATAACAGGCAAAATAATGCTGAATTGCTCTAAAACATTCTCTTTTCCCAGAAGGAAGAGCATTGTTTCAGGATCTGTTAGAGGGAAGAGTTGAAAATTAGTTTAGTAAATAAATCTGTACCCTCAGCTCTGAGTAATGCTGATGTCCGGGCTCGTGGTGGGTTTCTCTCTGAAGAGAAAAACTATTATTCAATCAAATCAAGCAGTCTTTTGTTCCAAGAGTGATGGAATGGAAAAACTTGGTTTTTTTGAGAATAGAAGGGTGGCAACTGATAGAAAACTATCAGTTATTTCAGTTCAAGTTTCCTATTAATTCTGGAACAGACCTGCCAATTCCTGCACTTTCAGTTTTTCCATCCTAGATGTAAGTCCTGGCCCACGCAAGTTATATCTGGCAAAACTGAAATCAGGAGCTCTGGCAGCTGCAGAGTCCTTTATGGGAAATGAGAGTGCTGGCTGGGAAGGACTTTTTGCACTTCTCTCCCCAAAACTAGAGGAGGTTACCAAGGGACCTGGTGGGTGGGAGGGGGGGGGAACAACCTTTCTTGGAATACAGCGGTGTCAGGGGCAGACAAAAGGCTCCTACATGTGCACACACACACACACACAGATGCTCACACACACAGAAATCAATTATGTGGTGGCAAATAGGATTTCCTTAACTTGGTGCTTTTCTGCTCTGTTGCAGCCGTGATAACGACCTTTCCACTATCATCTCCAACCTGCACCAGAGCCGCCAGCTCGTTATGCCAGAGACCCAGAGCCGCTGTGAATTCAAGAGAAACAGCATCGAGGTTGGCCTGGGAGCAGCAGGTAAGGAGCTGGAGCAGGTCCTGCTGCTCTGGGTTCGTTGACTCCCCTCCTCTCCCTTTGGCTGCCTCGTCCGTTCGTTTTTCGGCAGCTGGTTTCTTTGTGTTACAACTCTGCGAGCTGTAGGAAGGGGTTTCTTAATATTCTGGCTAAAGATTAACATGGAAAAGATTTCATGGTGATGGTGAAGTCCTTCTGAGATCCCAGCCCTGTGTGTTATTCCCAGATCTAGTGGTCTGTGTTAGAGTACTGGCAAAGGAGCTTGCGCCAGCAGAGGAGTGAAATGTCCCCAGGGCTGGTGCCAAGTGAAGCAGAAAGGCCTTGCAGAGAGCATGATTTGATTTGTAATTTCATTAATCAGAGGTTCCCCGTGCTGCTGCTGTGCCTGCCAACTCCTTTGGGAGTGTGGTTGTTTGGTTTTGTAGCGCTGCCTGGCTTTTTTTTGGTACTTCACCTGGTTTCGGGTTAACGTGGTGGCACCAGAAATGCTCCTCTTGGATCCTGCACTGTGCCTGTGTGGATGTCAGTGAGGGAGTGTGGGCAAGGATGCTCTGTGACAGTTGTTCATCAGTCACCAAGTGAGGCTCTGTAATAAACTGGAGATCTGTTGATTGCAGGATCTGTGATTTGCCGTCGATTATAAATAAATGTTGAGGAAAACCTGTAATTTATGTTAGTTTTTTATGTTGACTGATCCCTGCCCTTCCAAATCAGGGCCAGATCTCTATGTGTGTTAATACAGGCCTTTCCTGAAAACCTGTCTGTTTGTGGATTTGTTCACATTTTTTTTTTGTTAGCTGTTCTGTTGACTGTGTAAATTAACCCCAAATCTGAAGGGAACACCACATCTAACACACTTTGGGAATGTCTTTGGAGGGTGCTCAGGAACATGACAGGTACCTGGTTGGCTTTTTGCCTGAGGTTTAACCCTTTCCTGACAGGTTCCTTCTGCCTGCAGTGGAATTTGTACTGGTGTGATTACTTAAGTGAAGTGTTCAGTGCCATGGATGTGTCGTGCCGAGCTGGGGGATTTGTGATATGTCTGTAGAGCAGCCATGGGCAGCTCCCAGTCTTTGCTCTCACATCTTAATCTTCATATTCTCATCATTAACAGATTTCCTTAACATCCCCTTTTCCCACACAGCTCCAAGAGCACCAAACTGGCCAGTGATCCGTTTTTCTGTAAGACCTTGCTTGAGTCTATATGTCTGTGTGTCAAAATGGTTTTTAACATTGTTTGGTTTACAGAGAAACTGCTGGGCTTGGTCAGTGTTGCTGGGATTCTTTGAGGTCCACAACATTCCTGAAATGCAGAAGGGTTCTTCTCATTCCCATCAGTGCTAGGCAGTGGAAAGGATGAGATGTAGAAGCCCTCATTCTTATTTGTTAAGAGTTGATGTTGGAGGTTCTCTGGCTAGTTTTTTAACCTTAAGAAGAGTAAGAAGTGGCCTCAAGCTGTGCCAGGGGAGGTTTAGATTCGATATTAGGAAAAGTTTCATCATGGGAAGCTTTGTAAAGCATTGGAACAGGCTGCCCAGGGCAGTGGTGGAGGCACCATCCCTGGACATGTTCAAAAAAACCATGTGGACGTGGTTTAGTGGTGAAACACGGTGGTGGTGGGTTGATGGTTGGGCCTGATGATCTTAGAGGGCTTTTCCAACCTTAATGATTCTGTGAAATACTCAAGGAATGTTGGAGCAGGGAAAGAGAAGAGGCTCATCCACACAAGGGGCCACCAAGCGAGTGACAAAGCTCTTCAGGACGTGACAGATCTGGTGTGTCAGACAAGAGTTGATCTGCAAAAGAGCGAGGTGGGGGGGATGGTGGGATATTGTCACATGTCCCCAGGGACAGTTTAACTCTGATTTCCCCCCTCTCTCTGGAGCCAGCTCTCTCTCCATGCTGGTTTGATTAAGGGAGGGCTCATTTTGCCAAAGTCTCTGCAGGAGGTGCCAGCTCTGAGTGCAGAGCGTGTGCTGAGCTGGTCCCTGTGTCACCTCCCAGGCACACACAGGCCAGGGGAGCAGGAACAGAAGGTGCTGGGATTTGGAGCTGATGCCCCATTGTTGGGGTTGTGTCTTGGTTCTGTTCATTTTTGCTGGCAGGGGAAAAAACCAACCAATTGCTACATATAGAATGTGAAGAAAGCCAGTGTTGGGTTAGTCTGAAAGGCTGGTGGTTGTTTAAACCACTTAGTTACAACAATAAGGGGAGAAGAACCTTGCCCCCCGTTGTCTGCTGTGTTTGCACTGGGTGCCCTTGAGAACAATGCTGTGTATTTGGGTTATGAGAACCTTCCCCCCTCCAAAAGGCATCTGGAGATAAACAATGCTGAATAAATGATGTTAATTCCATCGTGTTCCTGCATCACTCGTGTCCATGAGCTGCAGTGCTCTCAGAGGCACTTTGGGATCTGCTGCTGAAACGGTTTCTGTTGCTGGTTTATGGTTTTGGAGTTGGGCACATGGTGCCAGTCAGGAGAGGTGGAGATTCCAGAGGCTGCTCTGCTGCTCCAGCTGCACATCCCCTGGGTGAGAGGTGAGTGTGTGCTGCTGGAACAGGACTCACCAGCCTCTGTCCCTTCTTGGCTGTGGCTGAGGTTAAGCAGAGGATTGAGAACAAGGACAGCACAAATGGAAGAGATTTGCTTTTTGCAGGGCCCGTGAGGGGTAGCAGGAGGGTTGAAGCTGGCAGGATTGGCTGGTGTGTGATTAATTCTGTGAGGGAATTCCCTGATTTATAGTTAGAACTGGGATTAGAGGCAGTGCAATGGTTTTGAACAGCATGGACTGGAAAATTAGAAGCATTGCTGGATCTTTAATGGTGTTTGAAATGCAGAAAGGGGTTGAAATTAATGAAAAATAATTGTGTATAGTTAGTTCTGGGGCTTTTATGACTTCTGGGAGATAGGAAAGGCCAGAGCTGGTGTTCAAGGTTAGAACTGGGCTGATGTTCAGGTCATAGAGGGCTGAAAAGACTGACTGGAACATATAAGACCTTTGGTTGGGAGAGCAGCACTGATTAATATCCTTGGAAGGCTTATGGATGACTTTTAAGTGAAAACAGGTCACTTTATGTCAATGGTGATGGTTATATTTGGGAACAGAGAGACTGAAGAGATTAATTTGGGACAGCAGAAACTGAAAGACTTGGAAAATAAATAACTGTGTCCTGAAAGACTCAGATTTGGCCCTTTCTAGAGCAGGATTTAATAACTCACTTGGGTTGTGCAATAACCCACAGAGGTGGGTTTGGAACAATAAACCTGGAGGAGGTGCAGCCTTGGGGTTTGGGACAGCTGAGACCAAAAACATCACTGTGTTTTGGATCTGGTGATTCCCAAAGAGCTATAAAGGGTCTGGAATAATCAACACCAAATGGCTCTGCTGTTTCTTGCATCACTGAGGGTGTGATTAAGACCAGTGTGGTGATTGTGACACGTTGGTAAGCGTGGCATCTACAGAAGTCTGAGAGCTGCAGAGCTTTGAAAATAAATATATCATGGAAAAAAATGGAAGGACTGTTACTACTGTTCTACAGTGATGAAGGGGAAAGGGAGGTAGTTATATTGCCAGCAGGTAAAATTTTATCAGAAATGTTGGACAAGATGCATAATTCCTTGCACCAGTTTTCGAGTACTTTGTAGGAGGTGAGTCAAGCAAGACAAAGAAGGGCAAATTCCTCAAGATCATAAAACAAAAGAACAACAGACCTCAGTTTTCTGCTTTGTCCTCCCTAACATCTCTGCTAAACCTCCGTGTTGTTGTACCACAGTGACAGTATGGAATAGATGTGGATTTTAGAGAGTCAGCATAGAGCTGATCTGAGGGTGGTGTTCCCCTGCTGCTGCTCTCTGCACTGAAGCAAGATGTCTAAGAACAGCTGACAGCCTAACTCATGTTTGAAGTCCCCTGATGCTGCTGCACCTTTAAAGGAAATCAGGAATGCCAGTGCAAAATTCTACCAAAAAAGGCAAAGACCTGCTCCAGGTGGTTGGTTGTTCTCAGTGAGAACCTGGAGCCCTGGGCTGGCTGAGCCTTTTGCAAGGACAGCAGAAGTTGGTGGCCAGAGGTGTATGCTGATAAAATCTAATTGCCCTATTGATTGGCTTTGGAGCCACTGTCAGTGGGGAGTGATTGAGATATTTGTGTGTGGGTGATGTGTGTTGGCTCTATCTCACTGCTCCAGGGCCACTGGGGACCCTCAGGTGTTACAGGGATCTCTTAATCTTGGAGCAGACCTGTGTGTGCTGGGCCTGCTCTGCAGCACCACAGATTGATTATTACAATTACCACTGAGGCACTTGGGTTTCCTCGGGTCCCAGGGGATCCTGGGTTCTGGGAAGAGCTGCCCTGTTTGTAACTCGGGGTTCTTAACCAGGTGGAGAAATCCATCTCACTGAGTTTGGGATTTTACCCATCTGCAGCCTCTCACACTGTTCTTCCTTCTCCTCTGGGTTGAGTGGTGACAGTGTCATGTCCTCAGGCTTTTAAGAACAGTGTATCTCTGCTTTCTCTGTGCCTGGGAGTCGAGGTGCCTGTGCTTGCTAAGTGCCTGTCCTCCAAAGGGTTGTGCAGATTCCAAGTGTGCAAGTGTTTGTTGTTTCCAGCACAGACTGGAAGAGCAATAAGTTCTTGTGGAGGGTCAGAGAGTGGAGTGTGAGGGAAGGGCCTCTCTGCCATCTCTGCTGCTCTTCATTGATCAAAATGATACCAAGCTCCTCTTCTGAAGTCTGGGTTATGTCTACACTGGGCTTACATCCAGCTGCTGGGTTTAATCTCCTACCACTTCCCTCGCCGGTTTTGGACCTTTAAAATTATTTATTTACTTATTTTTGAAACTTGGGGCCAGCTAACGCAGCTGCTGGGAGGTGAGGTTGGGTTTTGGGCAGGGAAGAGAGTTGAGCAAGCACTTATAGGTGCTGACAAGTCTGCAGGGCTGCAGCTGCGGGGAACACCATGTAGAACCCACCTGGAAAAATAAGCTTTGGTGATTCCCAAGGC